CAGAAGATTCATGTTCGACAAACTGTTAAACAATTTATCTTTGAATTGCGGGGTAAATACTTCGAGCAGCTCATTTTTAGAGCTTAAGTGAAACAAATGTAAGCATTGATCGTCTGTCAAACTTGCAATAAGTTGTTCGTTGGACATGATTTTGAGCAAATTTAGACGAAATATTTGCTTATCGTTTAAATTATCACAGCTAATTATTACCTTGAATTCTTCAGAAACTATGAAAGTGTTAATACCAATGTCGGGCAAAAATGTAATAACTTTCTTTTCTTTAACAGTGTTAAACCCACTTTTTCCTAGCTTACTTAAAAGCAACGCAGCTAGCTTGTTTATTTGAAACTTTTTCGTCAAGTTGCCATTTTCGTCAAAACTCATGTTTTTAATATAATTTAGAGATTCTCTTAAACACTTCAGTTCTGAAAATATTAAAGTATTTGGATAAAAACGAACTTCAGTACCGCCTGATGTAAAAAGTTGGATAAACAGTTGAGGAACAACAGACCAATTTCTGTCGAAATAAGATCTTGTAAACAAGTCTTCAGCTTGCAGTAATTCTTGAAACTTCAAAAGATTTAAATAACTTAAACACCAATAAATTGTTAGCGGAGCTTGTTTGTAAATTGAAATTTTTAACAAATTAATAATTGAGTTAAGTGAATTGTCAACAATAGACTTAGGAAAACACATTATTAAATAGTAAATCACTGTATCAGGAAGATTTGAGTTTAATAAAACTTGAGCAAAGTCCAATATAAAAGTAGAAAAAGAACATTTATATTCATGCTCGATAAACAATTTCAAAATTGAATTCAGTGTATTATTAACGTTGTTTTGAAACACTTCGTACACTAATAAATGAATTATACTTGAATCTACTACGAAATAAACGGGGAAAGAAGTTTCTTCAATCAATTCTTTTGAACTTTTAGGCTCCGAAGTGTTCGAAGCCGCATAATTATCTGACTTATTGTCCTTGATTTTAGCGTCCTTGAACTTATCTACAACTATATTTTTTAATATACGATTCAACAAAGGATTAGCTATTTGTCGATTCAAAGCTCCATTTTCAAACTCAATAATAGAATCGTTGTTTGAGTAAACGGCGAAGATTATTGAGGATATTAGAACAGAAATTTCTTTGGATTGGAACACACATAAAAGTAGTACTAAACTAAACAATATCATTGTTAAGAAATTCACACAAGCTAAAGCTGGTTGTTTGGAGTAACCTCTCAATAAAGAGGAATGAAACTGTTCGTTAATATCTTGATTGTATATATGAAAAAAACCGTTACACGCTGAGCCTAGCCAAGACACATTTTCTTCATTTATCGCAGCGGCTTGCTCAGATTGATCAACTTTGAAAAACTGTTTATTATTCATGACTGCTTTCAAAGTTGACGAAGCCATCTCTGTTTTGTTGAATTTAAAGATAGTAAATAATAAGAATAGCCGACAAGATACATTAGATAAACAAAAAGAACCACTCTCAGCGATTTTAGGAAACATTGTGAGAAGTATGTCGAATAAGTACAAATTATCGTCTTGAGCATCTTGAATAACCAAAGACTGAAGATAAACGATTTCTTTTTTGGTGAGAGTAACATGAATTTCAGTCTTTTTCACCAAATTTGACTTATATTGTTTCATGAAGTCTTCCATACTCGTAACATCATTAATGTCTATTTGCCGGTCCTCAATTAATTCTGTAAAACTTATATTAAACATATCATTAATAAAAATTAACGTGATACATTTGTACGAGCATTTAGGCATGAAGTAAACTGTTCGAAACAAAAGCCAGAAATAAAAAAATGGGTGGGAAGGCAATTTATCAATATAATAGCAAATCAAATTGTTGAAAATTTGAACTGAGTCGAAAAAGTGAAAGAATAGTAGAGACTCAAAGATTTGTTTTATGGTTGTGTTGAGTGAATTATATTGATTATAATGCTTACAGTGTTTGATAAACTCACTGAAACTATCAAATAAAGCACATATATACTTAAAAATCGTCCACAAACGCGATTTTTCCAAACAAAACAGAGAAATGGGGAAACTGAGCGAGTCGATATTGCCGGAGTAAAAAAAATTAATTATATTGCTGATGGAAACTTGAATAGAATCGTTTAACGCGTCAATAGAGTCGTATTTTAAGTGGTAAGCAACATCGAACGCTTGGTCAGTTTGATTTATGAAATAGCCATAATTTTTCAAAGACTGCGCTGCAATAAATAAAAGAGTATACTTTTGAAAAAAAGTAGAAACAGGCGTCAAGTCTTTAAAGTTAGCTTCTGCATTTAAAAATTCAACAATGTTGGACGAAAAATAAAACTTATTACAACAATCAATAGCATGATCGGCGACGAAAAGAATATATTTTTTATCAACCTTCAGTGCAAAGCGGATAACTTGCGTTACGTAAAATATCATTAGTTGAGAGATTGGAATAAACATGGTTGGACATTTGAAGTAAAATTCAACATCAGAAAAATTGCGAAGTACTTCGACAATGTCAGCAACTTCAATTTCGTATTCAGACAGATTGTCTAATATGATCTGATTGGCAGAAAAAGAAGGAGATTTTACGTAGTTAGCGTAATTGTTCAAAAAGGTCAAAATAATTGTTGCCAAAACGAACAGCATGCAAAAGTAAACTTCATGATATCCGCTGCGACTGAGAGATTTGGTAAAAGCAATGATTTGATCGAGTAGTTTGAAGAAACAACTTTGATTGTTTTTAAACATTAAAACATCAAACGACAACTCACACAGTGAAATGTAAGATATAATCCAGTCGAAAATAGTTAGTTTATTGACGCATAAATAATGATAAATAGATGTACAATAATACTGTGTCATGATAAGATTATTGGGCTGTAGCGAACAAGACTCGAAATTTCGAATTAATTTGTCAAACGAGTAGAGGTTAAATGAGCTGTTAGTAGTTTCAATGAGGTTTGACAAATAATAAAAAATAAACGCGTCAAAACTTGCCAAGTAGTACATAGGTATGTATATTATGGTTTGTTCTTTGACAAAGAAAGACATAAATGACGATTCAACGTATTTCTTTGAAATGACTTCAAATGTTAACTTACTAAATTCAAGAAACAAGAAAAAGTAGCAGTGAATAATTGCTTTGATAGAATCAATATCGTTATTTTTGGATAATACAATGGTGTCTGATTTGACGTAAACAAAAGAATTTTTTAAGGCAATGATATTTGAAAGTAAAACCAATTTGGTGACGTTAGCAACAGGCGAATTAAGAGAATTCAACTTGTCGTAAAGCTCCAGAAAATTAAGTGCCTTAAAATTAATTACAACGTGCTCGACCATGGATCGGCCTACGCTTGACCATATTTGCGGAATGAATAAACTGTATTCATTGCAGTATTTAGAAAACTTGGTAATAAAAACTTTTATGCTGGTCAAAGTTGCGAGAATGATGCCAAGGAGGTATTGGTTGTCTGTAGGTTTTTTGTCCTCTTGATTTGTTAGATCAAAAGAAACAATCCCCATTTGAGAAGCAAATTTTATTTGTGAAAGACTCCACTTACGTTCTACACACGAAGTAATCGTAGCTACCTCAAACGGCGTGTCTTCCAGTTGTGTTATCATCTCTGGATTGGAAGACTTGTAGAGCTTATCCAGTAAGACGAGCAACAAGAAGTTTGTAATTATTTCGTTAATATAAATATCATCTGGCAGTTCGTTGTTTCTCAAATGAACAAACAAGCTGCTAAGCAAGTAGTTTATTAGCTGAAGTATAATGAAAGGCTGTCTTTGCAACAGAACTATAGGCTTGTTTTGCTCGTTTTGCTGAAAGCAAATGTTAGCCAAGCTTTGGCAACGGATATTATAAAAAATGGAAATATTAAACAATACATTAATTGTAACATAATTCAGATCGGAATAATAATATGAATCTGCTTGGTGCTGTTTCAAAATCGCAAGTAGTATAAAAATTAAAGCTGATAACAAATGGTCTAGCATAACAAGTTCAACTTCAAACGCGTAGCTTCTGTTCAAACTGCTCTCTACATCATAAGACATCAACGACTCTTGGGCGGCTTTTGAATACCCTTGAATTCTCTCAAAAATAAAAAAAGTATCTTTCACGATTGGAGGCCACAATGATATCGGCAAGTGATCAATAAAAGATATTATTGTGTATAGACTTTCACAATACGACTGAAAGTCGTGAGAATCTAAACGGCACGTAAAAATGACTGGACTCCCGTCCTCATTAAACTTTCTGACCTTCAGCCAACGTTCAATCGCATCTGAAGCCATGCTTTTCTCTAAAAGTCTACATCACAGGTGGTGTTATATAAAACGCTTTTGAAAAAATTGGAATATTTAAGCCTTTTCTATTTTTAATAATCCAAAAACTATACCCAACAAACTAAAAATATTTAACACAAACAAATAATGTGAATATTTGGAAAAATATTTTTCAAAAGAAAAACCCGCTCAAATCGAGTTTTAATGAACGAATTTGTACGTTAAATATCAAAAACAGTTCTTTATAGTTTATCTTATATGAGGAATATTCCAGGTTTGTTCAATATGCGCTTCTTAAAAGTGAAATGCTTATGTTAAAAAAAAAACCAATCATAAACCATTTACTAGTTAAATGGTACATTGGAGACGTACTTCAAAAAAAAGTAACACCACCATTACATTATTTGTATCTGCACATTGTTGAAGATATGATTCAAAAAAAAATGTTTTCCGTACTACTCGAAAGAAGTAATACCACAGTAGGAAATAATAATAATAATAATAATTTAAATGATATAAAAATTTTGTTACAGGAAGACAATTACGTTCCACTTTCTCATTGTAAAGTTGTTGAGAAACCAAATCAAAACTAAAGATTATGTTTAAACTGAATAAAGTTGTTTTTTGCACGGTTAAAATTTTTCAGAACGGATTTGTTCATACGAGTTCTGGATTTGTTAAAAAAGATTTAATTGTTCAAAATGGACGGTTTGTAGATTCGTACGAAGCTACATGTACTGTAGAACACATTGACTTGAAATCCCGTTACGTCTGGCCAGGTTTAATTGACACTCAAATTAACGGAGGTTTTGGCATAGATTTCACCTCTAGCATCAATGTTCAAGAGGACATTAGTGTTTTCCGAAAAAAAATTGTCGAACACGGCGTCACGTCGATTGTGCCAACTGTCATAAGTTCGAAAAGCGAGAATTATAAACGCTTGCTTCAGTATAACTGGATTGAGCAAGGTAACGCTGACGTAGGCGCAACATTGCTTGGGTTACATCTCGAGGGACCGTTTTTGAGTCCGGAAAAAAAAGGATGTCACTCTGCAAGCAACATAGTTCCCATTCCATCTTTTAAAAAAGGAGAAGAGCAGAAAGAGGCATTAGACCTATTAAAATTAGTCTACGGGTTAGACTGGTCTCAGATCAGCATCGTCACACTTGACGCGTCCAATGATTCTTTTTTACACCTTCTGAAAAATTTACAAAGGCATGGCATAATAGTTAGTATAGGACATACAACAGCGACCACTAAACAAATTTCGCGAGCCATAGACGAAGGAGCAACGTACCTGACTCACTTGATGAACGCAAACAGCCCTATAACAGCTCGCTCAACGAGTGTTGCCGGAGTGGTGTTTGACCATGACGAAAAAACCCCAAAAACTCCAAGAAACTACAGACGTTTATTGAATTACTTTAGATGTGACCAAGGAGTAATTATTGAACAGCCGATGCCCTTTTTTTACGGATTAATTTCTGATGGCCTGCACGTTTCTGACATCAACCTGAAACTTCTTTATAAATGTTACCCCAAAGGTTGTGTGCTAGTGTCCGACGCTATTAAAGCAATGTCGTCCAAAGAAAAAAATACAACTCTAGGAGACCTCAATATAAACATCATTGATGCAGAAATACCTGCTGCGTACATCGTGAACACTACGACCCTCGCTGGCTCTGTGCAGAATTTGTTTGGCTGTTTACTTTATATGATCAAAACAAACAAACACGTGCCTGTGCACGAGGTCATTGAGTGCGCAACGTCCCATCCGGCAGAACTTCTAGGACTCAAGAACGTCAAAGGCACTTTATCGTCTGGTGCTGATGCCGATTTTATTATTGTGTCACAAGATTCCGAAACTGGCTCATACACCGTGGATGAAACTTGGATTCAAGGAAATAAAGCTTGGGCCAAAACTGAATGTATCTGAACAGCGTTTATTCTGTATAAATTTTAATCTATAACCTTATTTAACTCTCTACTCTTAAATGAGAACTAACAAAACTACAAGAATTTTGATAACTAATGAGCATATTGTTACTTATAGGGTTTTTTATATGCTAAATTAACCCCCCTGGTTTTATCAGGCTGTGCAGCGTATTCGCATACATTGTTATCAACCGGATTTTCAAATTTTTGATTCATTCCATTATTCATATAAGTAGTTTTATTATAATACGGGATCATATAAGGCCGTAACATAGCAGACTGGTCCATATACATAGAATAATTTTTAGGCGGAATCATATTGTGTTGATAGTCTACATTAACCGGAGCTAGATTGGGAGAAGAGACGTTTGGCGGGAAATGCATGCTTTTACTTGCGTTATGCTTATTATTGCGAAACGATAAATTGTTTTCGGAAAGGTTATTATTGTATGAGTACATTAACGCGTCAGGCACTTCATATTGTCCTTTAGGTATCAAATGTTTCGGAGGCATGTAAACGGGGTACACAGGATTATAGTAATTTTCAAATTGAGTATTACCTTGAAAGTTATTACCCGGATTTCCAATGTATTCCATAGTTGTTTTATTAAAATTACCGTTTAGAGGAGGTATGTATGAATTCGTTTTGCCTCCGAAATTAGAAGATCTGCTGTAAAACTCATTGGGGGAATTGGAAGGAACACAACCTGACGGATATATGCTTTGTTTTTCGTCGACTAAGGTATTCCATTTGTTTTTGACTTTCGTGTTGAAAGAATTGTCCAAAGGCTTGGCAAAAGTGTTTGTTAGTGGTATCAAGGTAGGATAACAAATATAATTGTTATATTTAACGGGTGGAGGATAAATACACAATTGAGTTCCAAACAATATTTTGGCAAATAACTCGGACTTAGTTAATTTAATTTCAAAAAAAGCGTTGACGCAAGTGTTTACATTGACATATTTAGACTTCAAAATACACGCGAGTCTGATGATTGCGTAATAAAACGTAGAGTTTTCCTGTATTTGCATGTATTTGAAATATCTAGAGTCGTTTAAGGAAACTCTACAACTCATAGTGGAAGGTACAATAAGTCGTAGGTAGTTTGTATTCATATTCACTGAAAAAAATATGAGAGATTGGAGCACTTCATCATTATACATTAAATTGTAGTTATTTTGTGTCAATAAGTTTGTAAACAAGAATTCTTCATTAGGATATTGGAAGCCTTTGTTTTGAACTTTATTGTACAAAATTCGTTGTACTAAGCTGGAATTATTTGAGTAAGAAGTGTAGTAGGAACTGACAGTAGCGTTTTTAATGATATTGTTGACGAAGTTGACATCATTGTTTGTCTTAATGTTAAACTCGTAAAGTAGTAGGAGAGACAACAACTTAGCAAGTTCCTCGCGCCGTAATTTATATCCAATTAAATTTTCTTGCTTTTGCTGTCTTATATCATCTAAAACTTTTTTAACCATAGTACAATTTCCTTCAGGACCGATCAATAGTTTATCTCTATACTTCACTAAAGAGTTAGACAAAATACTCATGTCAAAATTAATCATGCAATCGTATTCACAGTAGTTCAGGAAGGGTAAAATTTCAAAAACAGAGTTGTCTATATGCATGGTTAGGCCAAAATCTAAGTTAGTTTCTTCAACAACGTCGGGTTCAGGCTTAAGCTCACTACATTTAAACTCACCTGCCATAGTGTATCCGCTAAACAGGTCATCTTCATTTTCGAATGAAACATTCACGACATCTGCCATGATTCCAAAACCAAAAGACTCTAAGTTGACAGTATCTGAATTTAGACTATTACTTTCAAAAAGATAATAAGAGCTGTCGTTGTTAGCTATTTCTGATTTCTGCGTCAGCTCCCAATTTAAAATGAAATGCTCTATCAACATGGAAAAGAACTTTATTTTATACGCAACGGCGGGTTTTGCGCTTACGGAAATGTGTAAAACAAGTTTGATGTACTCTTTTATATTTTCCCAAGAAACCCACATTGTTCTAAGCTCGAATTCCTTGTAGCAAAACTTGATCGCTTCTAAAAAATTGACTGAATCATTTAAATCATAACCTGAAACTTCCCAAAAGTTGATCAAACCTCCGCCAATGTCATTCAAATCGTTGAAATTAAAGAAGAAGTCTTTTTTAAGCAGCAGCCAAATTTGATATTCCTCTAACGGTGACCAAAAAATTTCTAAAGGCATACTTTCTTTGCTTTTTCCACTATAAAATGTACTTAAGCAATACGAATTTGGATTGACAACGACCATGACGCATTCAGGCACGTTTGCTAAATCTTCGGTGAGTAAATCAGTGGCAAAGTGAAACTTTTGATTTATATTGAAATCTCTAAGAACATTAATTGCTTTGTTGCCCAAATATCCATAATATTTAAACCAATACATCCAGCGTTGCGTAGCGATGAACAGCGATGTATAAAAGATTAGTAGATATGAAGGATTGCATTGTTCCTTAATATCTGACGTAATTGACCATGAGCATAACGAATTTGAATTGACAGTAAAAGACTCTAAATTTGAATAACGCGTTCTTTTCTTTCTAACTGTTGTTTTCGGAATTTCTTCAGCATTTTCTATGCATTCAGGTCTAGAGAGTCGCCAAATGTCGAGATTGAAAAATTTATCTGGAAATACACAGATAAGATCACTGGGTGTCTCTCTACAAAGATTTAGATACGTACTGAGAGTATAGATCTTATTGTTAACGTAAACCAAATCATTCTTGTCGTGTGTTATTAAAGAAGTTGGCAAGCTCTGCTCATCTATTTTCGACAAAATTGATAAGAAGTAATTATAATAATGACGAGGACTAAGTTGAATTTTCTGTAATATCGATTCACATTCCTGAACAGACAAGAAATTGTTACTGTCACCGTTTTTAAAATTTCTAGAAAGAGTTTCAGCAATTATTTTATGAGATTTATCATCGAGTTTATATGCAAAATTTTGTATTGAATGATAGCAATGCAAAACTGACAAAGCAATTATTACATCTGGAGTAATAAAAATGTTATTCAACAAGAGCAAAGAAAGTAAATGAAAATCGCGCGGCTCAAGTCTTGATTCGCACAACAAATTTGAATAAAAAACTCTAGTTGTTTGTTTTCGAATTTTTCTAGATCTTAGTTCCATAATTTGGCTAGATAATTCTATATTGTATCCTTGCAATTCGTCAAGTGATAAATGGTGCGCTAAAACTAATTCATTATCGTGACTATCACGTTTAAAACAATGTGAAGCGTACCTCACAGCAGAACTAACGTTAAACCCCAGACGAGGGATTGCGTCTGCTGTGGTACTTTTATACAATTCGTAGGCTGTTTCATCAGAATAATGATGTAAACATTTTGGAATGTAGCGAATATAAGAAACGCGGGAATTATCGCCGATGACAGTGGGAATCTTAATTAAAGAATCAAGAGAAAGACATGGTTCTTCCAAATTTTTAGAATTATTTCTGTGAAGACTAACAACGGCAGATCTGAATTTCAAAAATAGAGCAGGTGTACACTCAATAGCTTCGATAGGTCGAATGCAATCTGACAAAAAAAATTCGAAACAGTTCTCCAATATGGGCGTTTCGATATCGCCTCGGACAAATAAAGCATCGTAGTTTATCGAGAATTCATTAGTACCTAATAAAAAAAAAAAAGAAGTCTCTTTTTCGAGAGGATAGAATTGAGATGTTCTAACAGTCACGGTTTTTCTAATTTTCTTATTATAGACAGCGTAACTATCAGTGCGCGATTTGTTTTGGAAATTGTATTCCAAAGTGGTTTTGGATGATTCTAAAACATATGCAGCATGTAGCCAGAAACTTTTGACATAACTATTTAAGATATTGACAACAGCCGACGTTTTTCCAGACTGAAAATAGATAGAATTATATTTAGTAAGGTCTTTATTAAAGTCTTTAATTTGAGCTTCTCTAGAAGACTGGCTTACGTAGTTATAATTTACAATTTCAATTAGTTCATCTGTTAATCTCGACAACGGAGTTTCTAAAACGCTACAAGGATATTCCATTGGGTAAGTAACTTACTCTAAGTAGCATCCACTGTTTGTTATTAAAGTATTTACGGGGTTTAAATTTAAACAACTATATAAATTTAGCAAATCCAATAAGATATTTGTTCTTTCATAAGATCTATCGCTAGTCATGCAAAGAGAATAAAGATAAATCTAGTTTATTAAAAATTTAAATCGCAATAACTCAACACAAAAAACCGCAATTTCACTGTTTTAACAACAATATTATTGACGTGACAATTATTGACATGTAAACTAGCTTATTGTAAGTCAACCGTCTTGCTTATCTGCCGAAAATAGATCAACATGAAATTCGCCCGAGATGAAATTAATTTATAAAAAGATTTAATTTTTATTAAAAATCTATAACAAGAAATTTATAAGAAATTTTATTTTTTCTAAATTTTATTATTTATTGATAATAACTTCATTTATTTGGACTTATTATAGTTTTTTTAACTAATTCAAATGGTAGAAGTATACGTCGACAAAGCCTGCAACAGCGAGATTGGTAGTGATGGATACCCTCGCGCTCATCCTTTCGGAGACAGCACTTTCGAGCCTGTTGCTTTCGAATTAGTTTCCCGTATGATCACAAGTGGGGGAGAAGACTACGGTATATCCATGAATGCCGATGAAGATGCTGAAGGACCAGCAGAACAAGGCGGTGAAGAGAAAGTTCGTACAATTGATATCGTGCAAAGCTTTAATTTGCAAGAATACCCAGCCGACAAAGCTTTTTTCAAATCTTATTTCGCCTCTTACCTCAAAACTGTTTTGATGCCTACAGTGCCGGAAGACAAAATGGCTACTTTCAAACCCGCTGCTGAAGCTCTTTACAAGAAAATGGTCAAAGAATTTAGTAACGCTTCAATATATTTTGCTGCAGGTGCAGCTGAATGTGAAGACATTAATAAGTGTCATCCCATCTACGCATACTGGGCGGGAGAAGAGGAATCACCAAGATTTATTTATTTCAAACACGGTATTGAAACTATGAAATATTGATAACGTTTATAACTTATATAATAAGATTGTAAATAAAGCCTCATAAACTATGCTAAAGATGGAAAATTTTCTTCAACAAAGTTGTTTAATGTAGATCCATTTTTGTTCAAAAAGTCGATGTTATTTTCATTTTCTATAAATTGATTTAAAATGTAAAGTCGCTTTTCAAACTCAAGAACAAGGGCTTTAACACCCTTCAGAACAACGTAACATTTTTCAACATCATTTTCATCAATATTAATATCGAATGACCTAACTCCGAGATAACTCATGAATTGGTCTTTTAATGTTAACAAGTTTTTGTTATTAGGAATTTCTGCGCTCACTTCAATAATTTCGTTTAAAGATATTAACAAATTATCAAATTCTTCAAATACTTTTTCAATTGAGCCTTCAGTACCAGAAACTTGAACCAGGTTTTCGTCCCTGTCGATGTAGATAGAAACGCCGAAATCGTCTTCGAGTTTTTTCAAATAATTAGCTTTTTCCCTTAATAACTCGGCAACTAGCTTTTGAGAAGAGATATCAAAAGTTTTGTAAAAGCTAATTTCTACTAGATGTTGTTTAATCAACTTGGTAATTTCTTCAATATTATCTTTGTAGTGCATTATTAACATTTTGTTATCTTTTTGGAGAATTGAAATTTCACAATCATAATCGTCTTCAAGTTTCTTTTTGAACTCAGATTTAAAATTGCCTAGGGCGTAATCCTCCAAGTCGATCGAAACTACGAAGTAATCAGCTTTTGAAATCAATTCATCAACAGAAGCTTGAACAATGTTTTTGTGCTCTTTCTTTACAATATAGTCGAGCGATCCGGAGTATTCGTCAGTTTTATTATAGTTTACAAACAAATTATACTTTTTTTTAGTGTCAACAAAAGCTTCATGAAGTTTATGGGCAATCTTTGAAGTGGAACTTTTGTTGAGCCTATTAAAAGCTTTCATTGAGCAAGACGATTGAACTAAAACAAAAGGCTCGATAAATTCGTTAACAATAATAGCCCTTAACTTTTCTTCGACGTTTTCATTGCATTTAACAACAATTAAATCTTCGTTTTGATTGAAGTTGTGGGTTAAAAGTATCTTTGCTTTGTATTCTTCCATCAATTTTTCAATTCTAGCTTCAAAGTGCATCTGAATGAATTTTTTAAAGTGTTTTGGAATATTAAGTATAAACTTGGCTGAACTATTTTCTTTCTCTAGTTTCAATGCGGACAGCAAGTCAATTACTTTTCGTATTTGGCCGGCTTTACCGAACACCATCATTAAAGTAGAATTAGACACAGATATCAAAGTATCAGTCTTTTCTTCCAAATCGGCAAGTATTGAATTGTTTTTGCGATTTACTATGCTAGCCATGGCAGAATCTAATACGTAATTTGCGTCCGGAATGAACTCGCAACCAGCCATCCAGTCTAAACAAACTTTGATGTTATTTTCATGTCCATAAATTTTGTTGTTTGATTTTATAGACATTATGATAATTTTAAACTTCAAAGCCAATTTTTTCAAAATGCCCTGAAACTTTTTCAAGTTTATTGTGCTGGGAATCTCCATTGAAATGAAATTATCTTTTTTAATGTCAGGCACTAGCTGTCGTAACTTTTCAAATGCTTGGTTAATTTGTACTTTTTCTTTTTCAGCAGTAAGTTGATCCTGTAACTTTATCTTGCATTTGTGTACACGAACAACTAAGTCCGCAACTTTATCGTGAAATTTTACATTGTTATTAGCGGTACGTAATTTGCATAGCGTATTATAAATCTGTCTAATGACATCTGGACTTTCGCCTTTCAACTCTAAATCTTCAATTTTTTTTATCAAAGATTCTTCTTTGACTCCTTTTTTAAAAGCTTCAGAGAAAGGAACAAGTCTAGCAATACGTTTCTTCTCTACTTCAATTTCATTATTTAAGTTCATCGTCAGAACAATGTTATTGGTAATAATATCAATGAGATTTTCATTTTGTTTTGCAGAAGGATTGATTAGGTGATACAGTTTTTTTTCTATTGTATTAAAAAACAGTGAACGCGTTTCTTCTAACTCATCAGTTATACCGTTTTTTAAAATCGAGGCCTCCTTTATTTGTCTAATTCGCTCCGATCTGTTATTACGTTTTTGGTTTTTTCTCGGCTCTGTCGCCGTTTCGCTAGCGTTAGCGTTTTTTTTTTCAACCGAAGCGTCTTCCAAGTCTACTGTTTTTGAGTTATCCTGTTTTTCGGTCGAACAAATGCCCCTAGTTTTAAGCTCTTCAGGTATAACCAAAATATTGGCTTTAGAGTAATTCTTTTTCTCTTTTGGCTTTTCTGGATGTCCAAGAATGTCGTTAATTATTTTATCAGTGGCAGATAAAACTTTATCAGACTTTGCTTTAGGCTTGCTCACGGGTTTATTCTTGCTAAAAGACTGTTTTTGTGAAACCTTCTCGACTGGCTTTTCTTCCAAAACTGTATTAGCCTCAGTGGAATCATCAGATAAGCCTAATGTATTTTTAACCCAAGTAATAAACATCTATGATATAAAATAAAATTATGATATTACTAGATCCTTGAAAAATAAATAATGATTTAGCAAAAATTATTTTTTCGTGGATAATTCTTGCAAGATCAAGATACATTACATAATAATTTAGATTCTACATATAAAATTATTGCGGTGAGCGAATTTGGGTCAACGCCGTTTTCTAACAAAGAAATCATTTGGCAAATTAAATTTTTATTCCAATTTCTCCCAGACTTTTGTAAAACCCGTTCTACCATCTAAAAAATTTAAATATCATGATACGTACTAAAACACACTTTATCCGCTTAGTTCGGACAGAACTCATTTTATGATTATTTAGTTTGCATAAAAATTAATTTAATATTTAATCCAATCAACGTGTTAATTGAATTAAAATGATTAATCATTAACTTGTTTTAACTGTTACTTTGACGTTATTTCCCGATTAAGCGATTTTTATTGGAACACATAACTTCACGGATGCAAACTAAAACTTTTTCGATCGAGTAGTTCATCTGCCATTTGGCAAGCACTGGAAACTCTTTTGGATTCACTTCTCCTTTGTTGTTGACGCCGTGCATAACGATTTCAGAAGTAAACTTAACTGTAGGGCTTTCTACTGGGTAGTTATCACCGCAGTATACCTCTAGCGAGTAAATGTTGTTTTCATACGGTGTGTTCATAGGCCCAAGTATAGTACAAGTCCAGCAGCGCATATATATATCATCGTGCACTTGTAACCCCCAGCTGCATCCATTCAACATTTCACCCTTCTCTCCCTTCTCTAGCTCTTCGAGAAGTTTGAAGTTTCGAGGAACTCTTTCAACCTTATTTTTGTTCCAGAACATAAATTTTATTTTGCAAGTGCGTTAATCTAAACTTTTTCCAATATCCTATTTTTTAAATTCAATTAAATGAATAATAAAATCCTTAAATTAACAGAAATACATGTTTAGAATTAAAATTATTAAATAATAAATTCCAGAGCGCATTTGCTCAATGTTTGCTCTGTTGCTAAGATTAGTTCAGTTTGCTTTAAGGATTTGGTATTTTAAAGTTGATTACTCGAAGGAATAAGATTTTTTCTTAAATAATACAATGTTCTAGCAACAAACCTACATGTCAGCAAGTTTTTTGATAATAAAAGATGGAAAAAAAATGCTTGATTCGTAAAGAAATTTTTTATCTGTCGAATGTAGAATTTTGTAATGTTTTTCAAACAACCTGATAATTTTTTTTTTGTAATAGGATACATAATACTCCTTCAGAATTGGATTCATTTCTGATCCAGTTTTTAAAAATCTTTGTTTTCCAATGATCATCTGGATTATAAAATTAGATTTTAAGGCAGTGTTCTGTTTATCGTGTTGAGTGGGATCTTTAACCTTCGGCGTTAAGGAGGGATCGAGCAGTTCTTGTTTCGTGTCCTCTAGATTAATTGCAGAATATTTAGATTTAAAACTGGCTAGTAATACTAACGACTCTTCGTTAAGCGTCACTTGTCTGGCTTGATATAAAGCATTACAAAGGTCATTTTTGTGTTTACTTATCTGGTTTCGTGCGTGTTCATCACAGAGCCACACTCTTGAGTACTCCTTAAACTTTGTGCATCGATAGTGCACAACTCTGTTGCAATGAGAACACATAATCGTGTTTTGCGCAGTACCTTGCTCATTGCATATATAGCACCGATATAACGACTGGTTCACACAATTTTTTAATTGTTTTTTTTGTATAGCCTTCACCACCTTTAATCTCTCACCAGCTTTGTTATACACTGCGTACATCTCGAAGCTAGTCTTGCAAATGCAACAAGTATTTTCTATTTCGGTCCACGCTTTCAAGCAAATAGAGTGATAAATGTGATAACAACATGACAGCAAACCAAACTCAGAAATGCCCGGTTCATCTAAATCCAGTAAACAGGCACAGCACACATTCTGCGAATTGCAAGAATATTTGACATACGCGTTAAGGTCAATTTGAATTGGGAACAAAACAGTCACATAGGACCGACTTAATTTATTTGTGGACTCATTATTTTTTCTAGGAGGTATTATGCTTAAGTCATTTTTATTATTCATATACACCTTACGATATATTAGATGGTTTCCTACATCTAAAAATATAAAAATTTCCCTAAAAGCATGCTTGATAACAGTTGTAAGACTACAAGGTTCTATATAACCTAATCAGCACGATAAAAGCGCCAATAATAATCGTTTATATATTTAAAAATGAAATTAAATTACTAATTAATCTCTAGAAAACTTTTATGGACAAAACCTGTCGTGCTGCTAGTCAAATAACCGTATACAAAACATTGGATGCGTGTATTGGCAAAAAAATACTTATTATCCTAAAAGAAAACTTAGAAATAGAAGGAATCTTGAAAGGATTTGACGAAAATCTCAATGTTGTGCTTTTCGATGTAATTGAGTATGAATGGTATCACGAAACGTCGAACGATATTTTAATATTGCATTCAAAAAAATTAAATCAGATGTTAATTAATAATTCGCAAATTCTTTGGGTAAGTTTATAAAACAGTTAGTTATATTTAGATGATTCCTTTTGGCAACCCCCCAAATGAGTCGATGTACAAAGACATAAATTCTATTGGGTTACTTTAACGTTTAGATTTATACTTTAAAATCAACTATCGAAAGAGAGTGGTGGTTTTTTATAATTTTTTTAAAGATTACAATCAACTTTTGCTCCAAAAATTGAAATTCCCTCTTTTTGAAAGTTAGAAAAATTATACTAAATTAAGCTGTTGTTTAAAAATTAACTTACTCCTGCATAAATAGTTGCTTTGACAGAATCATTTAAACACTTGAAATATGAAAATTTAGTGTTTCCTGTTGAGTCTATTTTACCTTGTATTTTAGTTTTTGGGTCTATGTTTACAGCGGCTCCAACAGTTAAAGGTGGATTTTGAAATTGGTCCTTTATGTTGTATCTAGCCACTATCTTTGTACGGTCATTTAGAAAACTAATCAATAAACTTTGCTTAGTTATCTTATACTTATTATCAAGTCCTAAAAGAATTCCGGCTTCAAAAGTTTTTTTGCTAGAGGGTTCAGTAAATGAATTTTTTAGACCAAATGTAGATATATGACACACGTTGTCTTTGTTCTTGATGATTTCGGTTATTGCTTGCACATTCCCTAATACAATTTCTTTTTTATGAATAGAAGTAAATTTGAAAGAATTAGTCATAAAATCTAATAAAAATGAACTATCGTTTTGAGCATTCGAATAATCGACACCGATCGATGATTTGAATGAAGTTTTAAAACTACCATTTGCTTTAGCCCATGATGTTACATTATACTTTTTTAAAAAATTGGTTTGCGCATTAAAAGATATATTTCCATTTGTAGTTTGCCCGACACTAAGTTTATAATGATTATTAGAAGTTTCTATAGCAAGTTGACCTTGGGTCGAGTTACTGATATCAGCAGCACTTTTTATTGTGAAGTTTCCAATTTGTGACTTCTGATTTGCCTTAAGAACAAAAGGATTTTTTGTTGAATAATCTGAGTCTAATATATCAGCTATATCCGCTTCAAAGTTTCGAACCGTTACCATATTTAAATATTATCCTAATCTATTAAAATAAATTATGAAGAACAGATTTTTGTTCGCACTCTATAATATAATTTAGAATTATAGAATTAATGCTATTACATTAGTTGTATTTAATTGTAAAAAATCAAGTTATAATATAAAGAGAATTTCGTTTGTAAATAATATTTTCAAATGGTCATTGTTTAGTTCCGGACAGTTCCAACACAGCTTTGTACAACAGTAAAATACCCCAGGCTTTGGCTTCGGCTTTGGAACCTCTCCATGAAACTCCTGCAATATCTAAATGCGCCCAATGGATTTTATCTCCGACGAACTCTTGAAGGAATAGAGCAGCTGTCATACTTGAAGCGTTTGGTTTAGAATTTGCAATATTCGATAAGTCAGCTATTTTTGATTTGATTAGAGACTTGTATTTTTCGTGAAGTGGCATTCTGAAAATGTTTTCTCCGCTATCTTTTGAAGCTTGGTAAAGGAAAGAAGTTAACTTATCACTGTTAGTAAATAGACCCGCAATTTCGGTACCCAGACAAATTGCCATAGCACCAGTCAAAGTTGCAACGTCTATAATGTACGAGTTGGGCGAATTTTCAAAAACATTCGATAAGTATGTAAGTCCGTCTGCGAGAACTAATCTTCCTTCAGCGTCTGTATTTAATATTTCTATTGTTTTTCCATTATATGCTTTGACAATACTTCCAGGGAAAGTTGCTTTCTCGTTTATAGCGTTCGCTGTCAATAGTGCAACGGCGTGAACTTCAATGTCTTTTATCTCAAGCGACGCAATGGCCAATATAGTAGAAGTTACTAAAGCCGCTCCAGTCATATCGTATTTCATCGTCATTATAGATTCACAGGACTTAAGACTATAACCACCTGTGTCCATCGTGATACCTTTTCCAATAAGTCCAATTTTGGTTGTAGGATTCCCTGATTTGTACGTTATATGAATTAGCCGCCCACCATGCTCGGAAGCTCGACTTACGCTGTAAAAAGCTCCCATGCCAGCGTCTAAACACTGATTCTCGTCATAGTAGGTTAAATAAAGATTTTTATATTTGGGAACTTCTTTTTTTACGTAGTCCAAAAATTTTTCACAATGACATACGTTAGGAGGAGCCTCAACTAAGTTCTTCATTCGAATACTAGCAAGAGCTAATTTTTTTGCAGTTTCTAATATTTCGATACTATCTTTTTCAGATATAGTTAGTCTGGAAGCACTAAACGATATAATTTTCGGAAAATTGACTTCTTTCTGCTCAGACTTATATAATGTAGAAATGTAGGATTCAAAGAATAGCCTTGATAAAAATGTCATGAAAGGCGCACTCGATGTTACTAAATCAATAAATACACTTAGTGACTTTACTTTGGCTTCGTGTTTTCTGAGATATGCTGAAAATTTGTATGCAAGTTCCATCAAATTATTGTTATCGCATATTGATTTTTCGTCAGTCCACGCCCAATACAGTTTATGTAAATCGCATTCGAATATTGAATCTTTTTTTTCATTTTTAGTTTTCAACACATATTCTTTAAGTGATTCACATATAGGAATCGAAGAATCTATTGATTCATTTTCATGTGACAATATTAAAAATGTGATACAAGTAGAATCATCAGTTTTGGAACTGTTGAACTTAATGCTTAAAAGCTGATCAGAATCTATTACTGGAATCTTTGTTAGCTCCCAGGCAGTGCCGTCAGTTACGGCAGTAGACTTATCTAGTTTCTTAGAAAACATGTATAATTGAAATTCTGTAAATAAAAATAAAATTACCTATATTACAGAGATTGATCATATAATAAAAATAATAAATTAAATAAATTTTAATTTATCTGATAATCTAATCCATGTTTAGGCAAAATATATGTTGCCTGATTAATTGACGTTGTTTATCTAGACCATATACGAACAATTTTATCTTTGCCACCTGAACCAATATATTGACCGTTTGTGGCCCAGTCAATACAGTACAATTCGTCAGCAGCACCTGGTAAATCTTTTCTTAATTTTTTGGATTGAACATCCCACGTTTTTATTGTTGAATCTTTTCCACAAGATACGACTAGTCGACTGTCTGAAGACCAAGCTAGTTGATAAACCGCAGCCACATGACCTCTAAAAACATGTAAATATTTACCAGTAGTACCACACCATAATCTCAGTGATGAGTCAAAGCTAGCTGAACAGATATATCTTGCATCAGGTGAAAATAAAACGCCGCATACCGGTTGTTGATGACCGAGTAATTGAGCAATTTTTTTGGATTCGTTATTAAAATCCCAAAGCACTAATGTGTTATCGTCGCTAGACGACACTAATAATTCACTTCTGATATTTTTAGTTTGTTTATTCCATATCTCTTCTGATGATTGAAAATATGCATCAATCGAACCTGTGTAAGTGAAATTAGAACTTGGAAAAAACGCTGAACAATTCATCAGATACGATGTATTTAAAGAAATATCATTAATCCAGTGTGCATGGGCTTTGACTGACTTGATCATTTGTTTATGAGGGAGACTCCAAATTTTAATCATTGTATCTCTCGAAGAACTATATAATATTGGACCAAAATATTCTTTTCCTTCATCAAAAATACTTTGATTTCCACTCCAGCGTAAGCACGTTACCATTTTAGTATGTCCGTCAAAGTTAGCTACAGATTGGCCTGATATAATGTTGGAAATTTTTATTGCTCCATCTTGCGAAGCACTTGCCAATAGTGGAGTTTTGTTAATCCAAAATTTGTGAAGATGTGCTGGCAAAAACTCTAAAGCCGTTATTGGTTGCTTATGGAGTTGAATTTTAGTTAGTGGTTCCACTGTGCTTGAAGATTTTAAATTGGAAACGTCCCAAATATATATTAAATTATCGTTTGCTCCGGAGGCTACGTATCTGCAGCAAGGGCTAATAGCAATTGATGTTATAGGTTTGATATGGCGTTTGAAAGTAGTAATAGGCGTTACCGTTAAAAGGTCCCATATTTTCACGGTACAATCTGACGAACCTGTAACCATAAATCTGGAGTTTGCAGCTATTTTCAAACAAAGAATAACCCCTATGTGTCCTTTTAAAGATCCAGATAACTGCGATACGGGTGAAATTCTAAAACTACACATCGAATAAAAGTTAATATCTAGCGTTCCTTCACTAGTAAAATTTACATTTTCTTTAATCGCCTTTTCTATGCAATCTGATAAAGTGGATGTAATTTCATATTTGTTATGGAAAATTGTTAAGCGATATAAATCTGACGCAAGGTCTTCGGGCAAAAATTCTTTGAGGAGCGATAACAAAGCGTTCTTGTCAATGCTTCCTTCTACTTCCAGTTCAGAACTTTTGAAGCTTTCATTTTCGCCGTAAAAACGTACTAAGAAAGTCTGGTTGGATAATTTATTTTTTACATTGTTTTCATCTATGTTGTGCAAAGGCTGATAATATCGAACCATATTTGACAAGAATTTTCGATTAATTACAAAGTATTTTTTGCGACTTTAAAATTTTTAAATTTTATTATTTAAAGTCTTTTCAGACCACTGTAGCAGAAAAGTGTCTAAATAAATTTTATTTACAAAGTTAGGGTCTAATTCGTTAACAACGGCTGTAATCTCATCGTTTGACATATCACAAATATTCGAAAGAATGTTTGCAAAATCAATTACATTAATTAGCCCATCTTCGTAGGTTGGCAACTTTTCGCACAGGGAATTAAGGATCTCATCTGGTCTTAGATTACTAGGCAAAGTTTCAATGGCATTTATTACGTTCTCTACTGTTAAATTATCAATTGTTTCTATTTTTAAGGTTTTTTTTAAACCTTCAACTTGCTCCAAAGTAACATTGCATCCCACAGCAATCAAAACATCATAAAGATCACTACCGGTTTTAGTCCAACCTAAGGAAAGTGCTTCGTTTATTGCTGAATATGTAGTTGAAGAAAAATTCATTTGTGATATATCTTAATAAACGTTTGCCTGTAAAAACAGCAAAAAATCAGAAAAAAGGGGTTTGCACCCAAATATAAATAAATTAAAATAATTGTTTAAGCGACTTAGCCCAAATTTAGAATAATTTAAACTGGTTCCTATAGCCTTTAAGTTATTTTTCGAGATATTTGGCAGAACTGATTATTATCAGGTAATAAAATTCTGTGGCAATAATATCTCATGAATTAAATGGGAATATCAGATTTATTTAACGAGTCAGCAGTTATGATTCAAGTGAACCATTAAGAAACACAGACCAATTATATATCATCTTTTATAACGAAAAGTTTATAGTATTTTCAGACATCTAAGGGTGTAAATTTACATTCAATAACGTGGTTGCTTAAGCCACTTCATGAAACACTGCGAATGTGGGTACACTGTTGTCATCATTAAATGAAATGAAGTTGCTGTTGTTTATGTTACTCAAATAAAAAAATTATTAAAAAAATATAAAAGACAAAACGTCAATTAAATTTCATTGTACTCTAAAATCGATTATTTAGTTTATATGACCAGTGACGTATATTTTAAATTAACTAAGGACGGACAAACTCTAGGTGAGCTTCAATTCGAACTTTTTAAGAATGTTGTTCCAAGAACAGCTGAGAATTTCCGCCAACTCTGCATTGGCTACAAAGATTCTCAGATTGGAAAGACTATAGGTTACGCCAAAAGTCATTTTCACCGAATCATTCCTGATTTCATGGCTCAAGGAGGAGATTTTGAGAATGGTAATGGAACTGGTGGTCGTTCGATTTACGGGGCTCGATTTGCTGATGAAAACTTTACTATCAAGCATGATCAAAGAGGACTTTTATCCATGGCAAACGCCGGTCCTAACACCAATGGTTCTCAATTTTTCATAACTTTCGTAAAAACTCCACATTTAGATGGAAAACACGTCGTATTCGGACGTCTTGTTAAAGGATTTGAAGTTTTAGATGAGATCGAAAAAGTCGGATCAAGTAGCGGTAGACCAACTTCTGTTATTAAGATAGAAGAATGTGGTCTTGTCCAAGATGCAAACAACGAACTTTAAATTAACATCTTATTTAATTTAACCTGTTGAGTTTTAACATTTTATGTTATGATTTATGCTCTTAAATTTCTATTTTTCTGTATAATTAAATTAAGTATAAAATTTATCATTATTAATTTTAGTTTTGATAATTATAAATCTAATATAAATACAAACTACAGCTGTAAATTATGGAATGTACTTCTCCCTGCTCTGATCAAATATCAACTGATTATGAGCTGTATCACAAACTTCAAGAAGAATTCTTTAGTTGTGAATTAGATAAGTTAGATGAGTTTATCACTGAAAAAAAAATTCAGTTGATGAATCAAACTGATTTTGATAACAGGTGTGTTGTTCATTGGTGTGTCAGCAATAACGATAAAACACGACTTCTTGCGTTATTGATGCACGGTTTTTCTGTCGATCCACGTGATGAGTTATCATGGACTCCTTTACATATAGCTACAGCTTCATGTTATATTGATTTGGTGCACGTTTTACTATCATACAACGCGGACCCTACATTAAGAACCGATTGCAGTTTGAACACTGCTTTGCATATCGCAATTAATAAAAGTAATGCTAAAATCGTTGACATGATTATAAAGATTGCTGATCAGAAAATTTTAAACATCAAAAATGCAACAGGACTAGATCCACTAGTTTTATCAGTTCATGTCGGTGTACCTTGCATCACACAACTTCTGTTGCCTCACTATTCGCAAAAGAAAATAAACATTTATAAATTAATTGATGTAGCAATTGAAAATGCAAACTATGATATGCTTAACTTATTATTAAACTTGAATATTGCGGCTGTTGATCGAATAGAAACTAGCAATATTTCAGACCAAACAATTTTAGAGCTTATTAAAAACCACGCATAGTTTTATAAATATTTAGAATGCAGCCAGCTCCTTTTAAATGTAAGCAGAATTAAACGTATAAATTAATTATTCGCAGTTGGATAAATATGTGAGACATCCGTCTTCACATTTAATTAAGTAATAGATTAAAAGTAAGGTCCAGAGTATTATGTAATGTGATCATAAAATTATTTTGTAAGAAAAATTATGAATTTGAGATAAAAAAACTTAGACAAACGAGTTTATTTGCTTTAGATGAAGTCCAACTATAAATGGCACTTTTTATAAGCAACATGCGTTATAGATCTAATAAAATAATCATTCCAGTTTCTCATATTGCAAAAAATCTGATGACATAGCTGTTTTCTATGTTCAAACATTTTAATATCTGTAATTTAATCAAAATTTTAACTAGGCAAATTTATTAATTCATGGATTGGGCACAAAACTTTTTTTGTTCAATCTATTTTGTTAATTTGTTAAAAAAAATTTTATTCTTTATGAACACATCTTAAACAGTGTATTAAGCTTCGAAACACAATAATACTACATAGAAAAATATTTTATATGTATAATGGAATCGAGTGGGATCAGATTTTGTATTACGTAGGACTAAAAAACAAATTTTATTCACCACTAAGCTTGGATACATTGAAAAGTTCGATTGACAAATGGATAGCCGGTGTACAAATTAAAATCTGTGCGAAGTCATGGAGGTCTAGATCTTCGCAGCATTTAGTCAAACTTAAAGCAAAATTATCGACTTTTTATTGGACCAATGGAGTATTTATATCAAATGAAATTTGCTGCAAAGACATAACAGGTGTTTCGATCGAGGACACCAAAAGCTACGAAGCCCACGTTAAATTGACAAATAAATCTACAATAAAATTGTGTTTTGATTCAGAAAATGATTTACAATCGTTCTTAATAGTGATTGATTACACAAGAAGTTTGTTAAATACAAAATCCACTAAAAATTTGTTAAAATATCCATATTCTATAATTATTCCTTTCTGGACAAAGCGCTTTAAGAATGTTGAAATATCTGTTGAAGAATGCCAGCTTTTATTTGAAGATTTTAAAATTTGCGTTAGTTTGTCTTATTTAGAAGAAATCTTCAATTTAATTAACGTAGGCCATAGTGATCGAATCAATTATTTTCACTTCTACTTCATTTTACTAATAGTATTAAACATGCCAAAACTAAATTTTTTTTTTAATTTAAAAAACGAAGAATTTGCTCGTTTTGCAAATATAAAAGCTTTTTTGACTAAATATAAATGTTACCCTGAGCAGGCTGCAATAGACACTACGAGTAAAATTTTTAATTGGCAAAGTCCTTTAGTTATCGAGGAAAAATTGACGCTGTTTGGCATGTACGCCCTGTTAACTAGTACAAACTATGATCTGACCAGTTCTAATTTTTTAGTAATCGAAAAATTTGAAAATACGTCGGTTAACTCGCTTTGTATTCCATTTATAAACCAAACTGAGCTAGCAATAAACCCGCGCAAAACGTGCGAGAATGACAAAAGTTCAATTAGTGATAAGTTCCAAAATCTACTTTCCAAAAATATTCGTTCTATGTGTTTTATCTTGATATACAGTGAAAAACTTGATCAAATTTTTTGCTGCGAAAACAATATTAAATTTGAGACAAACGTGGAAGCTTATCAAGCACTGGTTAATGTAGATAAATATAGACTTGATCTTGAAACAGTTTTAATCACAATTTCAGCTTATTTATTTAAATACTCATTCTTACCTTTTTTCTTGTTATTTGATTTACGAACATATCCTAATAACAGTATAATTGTGAGTAAAATAATGATAAAATGTAGTGATCTTTTAGAGCAAGTGTTCAACGAACGACTTCTTAAATGCTTAGAATCAGATTCATGTTTAACGGTTAAAGACAGTTATAAGAAAGTTTTGTTTAGTTTCCTGCTGGATAAAAACACTGAAACGCAAAAAATTCTTAATGTAGGTCAATTGAACAATTTTATCATAGATGTAAATACTGTACAAGCGGTAAAACATAATAATATAGTGACAGCATTAGAAGATATGAAACGGTCTTTAGCTAAGCAAGAACAAATGTCTGTTTCATCTCACTCTAAGGAAACCCCAAAATCCAACAAACTTTTCAACAATATGATCATGTATTTGTCCAACCCAGTTATACCAGCGGATATAAATGACATTGTAAAACTGATTTCTAGTGGGTGGAACATGTTTCTTGTGGATGCACAAATGTACACGATATTTTTCAATAATATAGTGAAAAATTCCGTTCTGGTTCCAATATCTAATCAACAACATCGAAAAAAGCGTGTGGAGTTTAGCATCGACTCTATCTTGAATTTAGCCGCAAGCAAGACATTGAAGAAGTTTATTCAGAATTATGGAAACGACATGGATCTGTTTGTAAAAGCAAAGATCAGTCTCTACGATCTTAACGAACCACAAAAATTAGAGTCTACATCAGCAATATATTCAATTTATAATCCTAAATTTGAAAAATCATTTGCATTTGATATCACATATAATAATATTGCTATTATAAAAATTCAGTTTGGGTACGAGCTCGAAATGGGATTTATAGATGTTGCACATTGTTATCTCGATCTGCTAAATGGCGTGCCTGGACTGTGTTGTATACCCTTGTTACCGAATTGCAATTATGAAACTGCGAAAATCAACGTGTTAATAAATTATAAAACGCTTCTAGACATTGAGTAGCAATGCAAGCTTATATAGATTTATATAAATATAAATTTTTTTCTGCAGCATAAATACAAATTTTCATCAATTTTTTGTTCTTTATCTAAATTCAATAATAAGCGATAATAATAGTTACAATGTCATGGTATAATAAGTTTGTCAATAACCATCATACAGTGAAAGAGTGTGAGTCTAACGGCAATACTTATTGGATTGTAGAAACGCCCAAACAGACTGCAACCTGGTTTAAACCTGTTATCTTGCGACCTGCAATTGAAATTATAATTGCATCAAACTGTCACTGGATAAAAGAGACAGACAACGGTACAAATTTTTACTTTAATGTACAAACGGGCGAAAAATGCGAGAAAACACCAATGTGTGTTGAAGAAATAATTAAAGCAAACAAAGAGTTTGACCAAAACGAATTTCAGTTGAATTTAGCTTCATACAACGCGCAACGAAGCGCGTTTTATCAGTATTTAGAAAAACGACGTATCGGTTGTCTACTATCTTGGCAGATTGTCAGTGTTGCTTTGTCGTTTGACCCGCGTTACAGTTTGTTCAATAATATATCGAAGTACGATAAGTCTAACATTTTTAATTCTTATTTAAATAACCATGTTAAACTATTAATGGAACAGAATGAAGCAGGCAAGTTTGAAATTAAACAAAAACTTTTTGAGTATTTAGACAAAATTTATGAGGATTTTGACGAGCAAGATTTTCACAGCTTTTTAGCGCGTTTGTCGATTGTTTCTTTAAATATACCAAATGAATTTTTTTGCTACGGCTATAACAGCTTGTACAAAATGTTTCTCGAGTACATAAATGATCTTCAGGTAAGGCGAAAAAAGTTTAATGAAACACTAGACGTGAGAAACGTGAAAATAGTAGCTAGATATTTGAATAAAGCTAAACTAGAAAAACAGTTATTCACATTTCAGAACTTTTTTAAATCTAGATTTACAATTGATGAGTTAATTATCAATTTTTTCAGCGGAAAGGTAGCTAGACATGGACTGAACAAAATTGATTTATCATTTATAAAACAACTGAAAATGGTTTGGATATTGGTGTTGGATTATTGTAGTCAGCAGATGGGTGTGAATAAAGATACTAAATTCGTTGATTTCATATTAACCGAGCTACCAGTCAATGAGTTTGAAAATTTTAACAATTATTTTAAATTATCTACTATTAGTTTACAAATGAAAAATAACTTAAATCATATTGAAAATGTTTACCTCGCGTACAATAATAAAGTTATTAAAGAGACTGAGCAGGGTCAGGCCGATGTACCAAAAATAATTAAAGATTATTCTGTTTGTAAGTTGCAAGTATACAAGCTTTTATTTCTCCAGCCGGAATTGACAGCATACGAGTTATTTGAAATTTATTTTAATGATCTAGATCTTGAGAAAG